AGATGTTGGACTGACCAGACCTAATTTTTTCCACTTCCCACTTTGGCTGCCTAGTCTGTCTTTTTGTTATACTTCTACAAAGTTCCCTCTATTTCAACCCTGCAATGAAGCTCCTGCTACCTCACTGCTCTGTTTCCTGCCAGTGCTTTGTGTTCAGCAGCTGCCTTGGTTTATGAGCTTAACCCGGCCCTTCTCTCCTGAGCACCTGAGCGTGGTGGGCCCTCGTCCCCGGCACTATCCCCCGGCAATGACACTTTCCTGCTTCTTTGTTGGTTTAGTTATTTTCATGGCAGTGAATGTGGGTGTAGCTTAGCTAATATCAAGACTAAAGCATGATCACTTTACATCCAGCACCCTGAGCATGAGGTCTGACTGACATCCATAAGTACCCCGCGTGGGGGCCCGTGTGGGGGACCGTGTGGGGGCAAGGTGGCGAGGAGCCAGGGTCTCTGTGACTGAACATACTCCCCAAACACCCACAGCCACAGAACAGAGATGAGAAAGCAGTCACACATCAGAGTGGTGACAAGAATTCACCGCACAGGTGGCCTCAGGCCTTGGGGAAGGACACCGCAGCGGACAAGCCATCCATCCTGTCTCTGCAGCGCTGTGTGTTTTTATCTCTTTAAACTTTTACACTTGAAACTTTCTTGAAATGCAAGACTCTTGGGGAGCACTGCTCCCTCCTGCCTGTCCGTCTCAGTGGCTCTCACCCTGGACTCATCTTGGCCCGCTTGCCACTCTTCCTGCATGTCTCTGACAGGCTAGACTTCCTGTGGATTTTAGGACAGATAAGTGAGATGCTTTGTGATGGATGAAGCGGCATTACAGAGTTTAAAATGTTTCTTAGAGCACACAGGCCCCTGAACCACAGACACATTCTTTGTAGCATGTCAAAAACATTAATAAGCATTCATTAATTCTTCCTGACTGATTGAACTTCGAAGAAACTGCCTTGGGTGTGCTTCCTTTGAAATCTGCACCACACGCTTCTAATGAAATGAGACTTCAGAGCCTCTTCATTTTCATGATGCCTCAAGTCTCCGACCTCTGGTCTGTGAATTCTCTACCTCTTCCCACTCATTAAGGTGCTGACAGGAGGCAGAGGACTGGACCACAGGCCCACAGCCAGACAGTGGGATCAGAACTTGCATCTCTGCTCCCAGGCCAGCACCTTCCCTGTTCATTTCTGTTCTCCACCATGCACGGTGTGCCGAGACCCTCAGCAAGAGCCATCCACACTCTGACAAGGCCCTGGCTGCCTCCTGGCCCAGGCAGCAGATGTAGTGAAGCAAACTGCCTCGCCAGGCCATTGTTCCAGGCTGTGCTTCACAGCCAGCTCTGCGGTGAAATGTTCCTCTCTGGGCATTGTGGGGTGGACTAGACAGAGGCGGCCAGCACTGAGGGTCGTGTCCACAGTGAACCAGACAGAGGAGGCCAGCACTGAGGGCCGTGTCCACAGTGCACCAGAGGCAGCCAGCACTGAGGGCCGTGTCCCTGTGGAATAGACAGAGAAGGCCAGCACTGAGGGCAGTGTCCACAGTGAACCAGACAGGGGAGGCCAGCACTGAGGGCCGTGTCCCTGTGGAATAGACAGAGAAGGCCAGCACTGAGGGCCATGTCCACAGTGAACCAGACAGAGGAGGCCAGCACTGAGGGCCATGTCCACAGTAAACCAGACAGAAAAGGCCAGCACTGAGGGCCGTGTCCACAGTGAACCAGACAGAGGAGGCCAGCACTGAGGGCCGTCCACAGTGAACCAGACAGAGGAGGCCAGCACTGAGGGCCGTGTCCACAGTGAACCAGACAGGGGAGGCCAGCACTGAGGGCCGTGTCCCTGTGGAATAGACAGAGAAGGCCAGCACTGAGGGCCATGTCCACAGTGAACCAGACAGAGGAGGCCAGCACTGAGGGCCATGTCCACAGTAAACCAGACAGAAAAGGCCAGCACTGAGGGCCGTGTCCACAGTGAACCAGACAGAGGAGGCCAGCACTGAGGGCCATGTCCACAGTGAACCAGACAGAGGAGGCCAGCACTGAGGGCCGTGTCCTCAGTGAACCAGACAGAGGAGGCCAGCACTGAGGGCCGTGTCCACAGTGAACCAGACAGAAAAGGCCAGCACTGAGGGCCGTGTCCACAGTGAACCAGACAGAGGAGGCCAGCACTGAGGGCCGTGTCCACAGTGAACCAGACAGAGGAGGCCAGCACGGAGGGCCGTGTCCACAGTGAACCAGACAGAGGAGGCCAGCACTGAGGGCCGTGTCCACAGTGAACCAGACAGAGAAGGCCAGCACTGAGGGCTGTGTCCCTGTGGAATAGACGGAGGCGGTCAGCACTGAGGGCCATGTCCACAGTGAACCAGACAGAGGAGGCCAGCACTGAGGGCCGTGTCCACAGTAAACCAGACAGAAAAGGCCAGCACTGAGGGCCGTGTCCACAGTAAACCAGACACAAAAGGCCAGCACTGAGGGCCGTGTCCACAGTAAACCAAACAGAAAAGGCCAGCACTGAGGGCCGTGTCCACAGTAAACCAGACAGAAAAGGCCAGCACTGAGAGCCGTGTCCCCCTGGAATAGACAGAGAAGGCCAGCATTGAGGGCCGTGTCCCTGTGGAATAGATGGAGGAGGCCAGCACTGAGGGCCGTGTCCCTGTGGAATAGACGGAGGAGGCCAGCACTGAGGGCCTTGTCCACAGTAAACCAGACAGAGGAGGCCAGCTCTGAGGGCCGTGTCCCTGTGGACTAGATGGAGGAGGCCAGCACTGATGGGCCGTGTCCCTGTGGAATAGATGGAGGAGGCCAGCACTGAGGGCCGTGTCCCTGTGGAATAGATGGAGGAGGCCAGCACTGAGGGCCTTGTCCACAGTGGATCTGAGGAATGGCTCCAGCTACAAGGCACACAGTACCCTAAAGGGAGGGGCAGGTGGGCAGGTGAAAATCTGCTCCTGGTCCTAAGGCGCCTCGGGTCCTTTCCTGTACAAGGCACTGACCCCTGTGTGCATGACCCCAGAGTGAACAAGAGTAGCCGACACAGCCCAGGCTTCAGACCGGAGCCTGAGGAGGCATCCAGCACATAGCCTGTCCAACCCCTGGGCTTGGACCACCAAGAGCAGAGACGAGCAGGTTCTCTGAAATAGCGAGTCCTGGCATTTCCATGCACGCACACAATGTGTGTTGTCGGCCTCGCGCCCTCTGGCACTCTCCGTTACCCTCCCTCCTCCCCCCCCCCCCCCCCCCCCGTCTTGTCACAGCTTTCTCACCTCCTTTGCTGTCCGCCCCTTTCCACTGAGTCCCACCCTAAGAGCAGCGCGGCGGGTAACTAGAGATCGGCCCTACCAACGGGCCTTCCTCCCAGCCTTCTCCCAAACTGCCAGCCATGAGGAGCTGCTTGCTGGCAAACCAGGGTAAATTCCCCCGACCTCCAGCAGGAGGTCTGCCTTATTCATGGATTTATTACTTGCCTTTCTGACCAAGCACGGTAAAAAAATACTAAGTAAAAAAATGAGAAGGAATTGCCACAATATTGTAAAACTCCCAAGTACACATCCTCAGGCCTGCTGAAATCGCGGTGTGGTCTCCAGAGGGCTTTCTTGCCCCTGATTTTGTCTTCTAAAAAGCAAACCAGGTCCAAAAGCAAACTTAAGTAATAAAAGGTAATTGGAAGTTTGTTGGAAAGTGGCTTTACTTTGGTGGGAACTGCTGTGCCGTGATGTGTGGCTCCTCACTCCCGTAATACTGACCTCTGCATCCTCAGCATTTGTCAGCTTTTCCCAGTGGCATTCTCCTCCAAACCAAGTACTCACAGATCCCAAAGCCTACTATACTCAGGGCAGATATCTGAGGGTCATCAGATATTTAAAGAAAGCCCCACTTCACGAGACACCAAACAAGCCCAAAACAAGAAGAAAATAAATGCTACAGAAAATGATACAGTTAAAAATACTGACTTAAGATTTCAGAGCAGTTTGGTCAAGGCAAGGAACTGCTCTGCAGCCTGGGCTTGACGTCCAGGCCTCCTCCAGTGGGACGATACCTAAGTCTGGCAACATGAGTCTTCAGAGACTCAAGGACAGGGTGCTATCCCCAGGAAAACAAAATCCAAAGAGCAAGAAAGAACACTCCGAAATTAGAGCCAGCAGAACCTATTTTTAGAAAGTAACTTAGAAACTAGATGCAAAGAAATTTCCCAAAAGGAACAGAAAAAAAATATACAAAGAGAGGGGAAAGCTGGAGGAAAGTGAAAGGAAGGAGAGGCACCATCCCCAGTCATTACCTGACTTAAGAATGAAACTAGGGGCTGGGGAGGTGGCTCAGTGGTAGAGCGCTTGCCTTGCATGCCTGAGGCCCTGGGTTCAATTCCCCAGCACCACATAAGCAAAAAGAAAAAAGCCAGAAGTGGCACTATGGCTCAAGTGGTAGAGCGCTAGCCTTGAGCTGAAGAGCTGGGGACAGCGCCCAGGCCCAGAGTTCAGGCCCCACAACCAGACCCCCCCCCCAAAAAAAAAGAATAAAACTATTTAAAAGATACAAAAAGTTGGCTGAAAGAGGAGAAAAGATCTGGTGGCTCAAGATTATATTCCTAGCACCTTGGGAGGCAGAGATTAGGTTTGAGGCCGATCTGGGCCTCAAGTTCATAAGACTCCACCTGCTAATGGCCAAGTGAGAGGTGCCTGCCTGTCGCCCCAGTTACAAGTATGAAGGTTGGGTATAGTGGCACACACCCGTCACCCTGTGACACAGCAAAGCACAAGCAGCAGGACTGCAGTCCAGTCTTCAAAGGAGGCCCCACCTCAAAAATAACCACCACGTAAGGGTGCTGGAGACATGGCTGACGTGGTAAACGCTTGTCTCATAAGCACAAAGCCCCAGTATTGAGGAGTGGGGGGAAGAAAGAGGAGAACAGGAAACCATTCACAAGTTTGTGCTGACAGGGGAAGGGACAGGAGGGTGGTGGTTTGGGCAGGGTGACCCAAATCCACATGTCTGAGGACACGACGTACCACACAACATGCCACGAAATTCCAAACACAGCCACGGCACTCAACACCCAAGAGGTGGTACTCGGGAAGCTGGAGCTGTCCGTAAGGTACAGAGGGTCACTCAGCAGCACTGGTCCAGCTGCAATCACCCCTGTTTCCAGGAGTTGGAGAGACACAGCTCCACCACAGAGAAATCTGTGGGCAGAGAAAAGCAGGAATGGCTGGGTGCTGGCGGCTCACACCTGTAAACCTAGCTGTGAACTCCATGTGGAGTGTGTCCTGGACTCCCGTGTCCTCCATGTGGACTGTGTCCTGGACTCCCGTGTCCTCCGTGTGGACTGTGTTCTGGACTCCCGTGTCCTCCATGTGGACTGTGTCCTGGACTCCCGTGTCCTCCATGTGGACTGTGTCCTGGACTCCCGTGTCCTCCGTGTGGACTGTGTTCTGGACTCCCATGTCCTTCATGTGGACTGTGTCCTGGACTCCCGTGTCCTCCGTGTGGACTGTGTTCTGGACTCCCATGTCCTCCGTGTGGACTGTGTTCTGGACTCCCATGTCCTCCATGTGGACTGTGTTCTGGACTCCCGTGTCCTCCATGTGGACTGTGTTCTGGACTCCCGTGTCCTCCGTGTGGACTGTGTTCTGGACTCCTGTGTCCTCCGTGTGGACTGTGTCCTGGACTCCCATGTCCTCCGTGTGGACTGTGTTCTGGACTCCCATGTCCTCTGTGTGGACTGTGTTCTGGACTCCCATGTCCTCCATGTGGACTGTGTTCTGGACTCCCGTGTCCTCCATGTGGACTGTGTTCTGGACTCCCGTGTCCTCTGTGTGGACTGTGTCCTGGACTCCCGTGTCCTCCGTGTGGACTGTGTCCTGGACTCCCGTGTCCTCCGTGTGGACTGTGTCCTGGACTCCCATTTCCTCCGTGTGGACTGTGTTCTGGACTCCCATGTCCTCTGTGTGGACTGTGTTCTGGACTCCCATGTCCTCCATGTGGACTGTGTTCTGGACTCCCGTGTCCTCCATGTGGACTGTGTTCTGGACTCCCGTGTCCTCCGTGTGGACTGTGTTCTGGACTCCCGTGTCCTCCATGTGGACTGTGTTCTGGACTCCCATGTCCTCCGTGTGGACTGTGTTCTGGACTCCCATGTCCTCTGTGTGGACTGTGTTCTGGACTCCCATGTCCTCCATGTGGACTGTGTTCTGGACTCCCGTGTCCTCCGTGTGGACTGTGTTCTGGACTCCCGTGTCCTCCTTGTGGACTGTGTCCTGGACTCCCGTGTCCTCCGTGTGGACTGTGTCCTGGACTCCCGTGTCCTCCATGTGGACTGTGTTCTGGACTCCCGTGTCCTCCATGTGGACTGTGTCCTGGACTTCCGTGTCCTCCGTGTGGACTGTGTCCTGGACTTCCGTGTCCTCCGTGTGGACTGTGTCCTGGACTCCCGTGTCCTCCGTGTGGACTGTGTCCTGGACTCCCGTGTCCTCCATGTGGACTGTGTCCTGGACTCCCATGTCCTCCATGTGGACTGTGTTCTGGACTCCCGTGTCCTCCGTGTGGACTGTGTTCTGGACTCCCGTGTCCTCCGTGTGGACTGTGTCCTGGACTCCCGTGTCCTCCGTGTGGACTGTGTTCTGGACTCCCGTGTCCTCCATGTGGACTGTGTCCTGGACTCCCATGTCCTCCATGTGGACTGTGTTCTGGACTCCCGTGTCCTCCGTGTGGACTGTGTTCTGGACTCCCGTGTCCTCCATGTGGACTGTGTCCTGGACTTCCGTGTCCTCCGTGTGGACTGTGTCCTGGACTCCCGTGTCCTCCGTGTGGACTGTGTCCTGGACTCCCGTGTCCTCCATGTGGACTGTGTTCTGGACTCCCGTGTCCTCCATGTGGACTGTGTCCTGGACTTCCGTGTCCTCCGTGTGGACTGTGTCCTGGACTCCCGTGTCCTCCGTGTGGACTGTGTCCTGGACTCCCGTGTCCTCCGTGTGGACTGTGTCCTGGACTCCCGTGTCCTCCGTGTGGACTGTGTCCTGGACTTCCGTGTCCTCCATGTGGACTGTGTCCTGGACTTCCGTGTCCTCCGTGTGGACTGTGTCCTGGACTCCCGTGTCCTCCGTGTGGACTGTGTCCTGGACTCCCGTGTCCTCCGTGTGGACTGTGTCCTGGACTCCCGTGTCCTCCGTGTGGACTGTGTCCTGGACTCCCGTGTCCTCCGTGTGGACTGTGTCCTGGACTCCTGTGTCCTCCATGTGGAGTGTGCCCTGGACTCCCGTGTCCTCTGTGTGGACTGTGTTCTGGACTCCTACTGTTTCCTCCATGTGGAGTGTGTGCTGGCCTTTTCCTCCTCTCCTGAGTATGCCAATCTCCTCCTGAATGTCCCAGTGGTCTCCTTAAGGTTGCGCTAGATGCACCAACTCCTCCCCCACCACGCCCCCTGGAGGCTGCACGGCATGGCTTTTCCAGTGCCCTCACCTTACTGACCTCTCTCTTACTTCTGTAATGCAGAAAAAGATGTTATTTGCTCCATATATTTAATTAAGTCTAATTAAATTCATTTGCCACCTAAGAAAGCAGTGCATGAGTGTGTGTAAGTGAGATAAATCCCAAGCATGTGCTCCCTGGATCCATCACCCTAACATGGTTAAGGTGACGGGAAAGTCTCAGGACCCTTCCTTGGTGTCTGTCTCTTCTCTGTTGAGTGGGAACCGTGAGAAATGTAAAGGCAGAGGAGCACGTTGAAAGTATCACCACAGAAAAATCCTGTCATCTGCATCCTCACTGCAGAGACGGTGCAGGTGCTACAGTCCTGAGACCCTGAGACCCTGAGCTACAGCACCAGGCTCCACAGACTCTCGCAGGCCCGTACAGGTCCCAACATTTTTGAACAGCTCCACACAGCTCTGAAGAGCTCCACACAGCCCTGCACAGCCCTACACAGCTCCGCACAGTTCCACACAGCCCCGCACAGCCCCACACAGCCCCGCACAGTCCTACACAGCCCCGCACAGCCCCGCACAGTCCTACACAGCCCCGCACAGCCCCTCACAGCCCAGCACAGCTCTGAAGAGCTCCACACAGCCCTACACAGCCCCGCACAGCCCCGCACAGCCCGGCACAGCCCCACACAGCCCCGCACAGTCCTACACAGCCCCGCACAGCCCCGCACAGTCCCACACAGCCCCGCACAGCCCCTCACAGCCCCACACAGTTCCACACAGCCCCGCACAGCCCCGCACAGCCCGGCACAGCCCCACACAGCCCGGCACAGCCCGGCACAGCCCCGCACAGCCCCGCACAGCTCCCCACAGCCCCGCACAGCTCCCCACAGCCCCGCACAGCCCCGCACAGCTCCCCACAGCCCCGCACAGCCCCGCACAGCCCCGCACAGTTCCACACAGCCCCGCACAGCTCTGCACTGCTCTCCTCTGATGTGCATTTTGTGTGGTTAATTCTTAGCAGCTTTTCTTAACCACTGGAGTCAGAAAAGTCCTCATGGCCTCTTACTCTGGATAGCTGTGCCACCATTCACTATCACCCCTGCCCCAGGTGCCCACAGGACCAGGGCCTTCCATCTGCATGGAGTCTGCAGCACGGGCCCAGCAGCACGTGTGGAGGTGGAAAGTGATGACAGGTCTCTCCCACCAGCCGAGACGAGGCAACAAGGTTGCCCATTGGCAGGAGGTGAGGTCTTGAACCATACACAATTACAAAGCTGTTCTTCCAGCAAAGAAGAATCAGGACTGAATCAATTAAGAAACAAGGTACACACTGCTCAGCCATCCAATCTGACAATGGACTGCTGAGACCCAAGGAGACAGGGACAGGGATCGAGCACCTGCAAGAAAGATGTCAAAATCTATGCAGCAGCTCCTCCAAAGCCCAGCACACACACTCCCCTGCCCAGTTGTCCATGAGCCAATGCTAAGCAGAAATGCTGTGCAACAACGTGCCCAGCCCCGGAAGCCCTCGTGGACAACACACGGGGCAGAGGGCATGGATCCAAGGAGACACGCACTCCCCAGAGCGCATGGCAAAGGGTGGCAAGGGGTGAGGACATGTGGGCTCCCCAGCCCAGGGACACGCGTCCCAGACCTCCCTGACCGCCTCATCAGGACTCTCCAATGTGCATGCTGGTGGGCAGCATGGAATGTTGGGTGACCATGACATCAAGAAGGGGCACAAACACTAAGGACTCATTCCTACCCCATGTGACACAGTGCTGTGATGCATGGCATGTGTCTGCTGTGAGCGCACTCCCACTGAATTAACTCAATAAGACCGGGGAGGGAGACGAAATACTTCCATGTTCCAACCCACAGTTAATCGCTGGAAGTGGCAAGGGCGACTCATAGCTGCCTGTGAGAAGGCAAGATGAGGCGGGAGCCACGCGCGCCAGGCGCTTCTACCCAGGAGGCCACACGCTTCACGCTCTACCCAGTAGGCCACGCGCTTCACGCTCTACCCAGGAGGCCATGCGCTTCACGCTCTACCCAGGAGGCCACGCGCGCCAGGCGCTTCTACCCAGGAGGCCACGCGCTTCACGCTCTACCCAGGAGGCCACGCGCTTCATGCTCTACCCAGGAGGCCACGCGCGCCACGCGCTTCTACCCAGGAGGCCACGCGCTTCACGCTCTACCCAGGAGGCCACGCGCTTCATGCTCTACCCAGGAGGCCACACGCTTCATGCTCTACCCAGGAGGCCACGCGCTTCACGCTCTACCCAGTAGGCCATGCGCTTCACGCTCTACCCAGGAGGCCACGCGCGCCAGGCGCTTCTACCCAGGAGGCCACGCGCTTCACGCTCTACCCAGGAGGCCACGCGCTTCATGCTCTACCCAGGAGGCCACGCGCGCCACGCGCTTCTACCCAGGAGGCCACGCGCTTCACGCTCTACCCAGGAGGCCACGCGCTTCTACCCAGGAGGCCACGCGCTTCACGCTCTACCCAGGAGACCACGCGCTTCACACGCTTCTACCCAGGAGGCCACGCGCGCCAGGCGCTTCTACTCAGGAGGCCACGCCCGCCAGGCGCTTCTACCCAGGAGGCCACGCGCTTCACGCTCTACCCAGGAGGCCACGTGCTTCTACCCAGGAGGCCACGCGCGCCAGGCGCTTCTACCCAGGAGGCCACGCACTTCACACGCTTCTACCCAGGAGGCCACGCGCTTCACGCTCTACCCAGGAGGCCACGCGCTTCTACCCAGGAGGCCACGCGCGCCAGGCGCTTCTACCCAGGAGGCCACGCGCTTCACATGCTTCTACCCAGGAGGCCACGCGCGCCAGGCGCTTCTACCCAGGAGGCCACGCGCTTCACGCTCTACCCAGGAGGTCACGTGCTTCTACCCAGGAGGCCACGCGCTTCACGCTCTACCCAGGAGGCCACATGCTTCTACCCAGGAGGCCACGCACTTCACACGCTTCTACCCAGGAGGCCACGAGCTTCACGCTCTACCCAGGAGGCCACGCGCGCCAGGCGCTTCTACCCAGGAGGCCACGCGCGCCAGGCGCTTCTACCCAGGAGGCCACGCGCTTCACACTCTACCCAGGAGGCCACGTGCTTCTACCCAGAAGGCCACGCGCTTCACACGCTTCTACCCAGGAGGCCACGCGCTTCACGCTCTACTCAGGAGGCCACGCGCGCCATGCGCTTCTACCCAGGAGGCCACGCGCACCAGGCGCTTCTACCCAGGAGGCCACGCGCTTCTACCCAGGAGGCCACGCGCTTCACGCTCTACCCAGGAGGCCACGCGCTTCTACCCAGGAGGCCACGCGCGCAAGGCGCTTCGACCCAGGAGACCACACGCTTCACACGCTTCTACCCAGGAGGCCACGCACTTCTACCTAGGAGGCCACGCGCTTCACACGCTTCTACCCAGGAGGCCACGCGCTTCACACGCTTCTACCCAGGAGGTCACGCGCTTCACACGCTTCTACCCAGGAGGTCACGCGCGCCAGGCGCTTCTACCCAGGAGGCCACGCGCTTCACACGCTTCTACCCAGGAGGCCACGCGCTTCACACGCTTCTACCCAGGAGGCCATGCGCTTCACACGCTTCTACCCAGGAGACCACGCACTTCACGCTTTACCCAGGAGGCCACGCATGTTACGCACTACCCAAGAGGCCACACACGTCACATGCTTCTACCCAGGAGACCATGCACTTCACGCGCTTCTACCCAGGAGGCCACGCGCTTCACGCTCTACCCAGGAGGCCACGTGCGTCACGCACTTCTACCCAGGAGGCCACGCACTTCTACCCAGCAGGCCACGCGCTTCACGCTCTACCCAGTAGGCCACGCGCTTCACGCTCTACCCAGGAGGTCACGCGCTTCACGCTTCTATCCAGGAGGCCACGCGCTTCACACGCTTCTACCCAGGAGGCCACGTGCGTCACGTGCTTCTATCCAGGAGGCCACGCGCTTCACGTGCTTCCACCCAGGAGGCCACGCCCATCACGCTCTACCCAGGAGGCCACGCGCTTCACATGCTTCTACCCAGGAGGCCATGCACTTCACACACTTCTACCCAGGAGGCCACGTGTGTCACGTGCTTCTATCCAGGAGGCCACGCGCTTCACACTCTACCCAGGAGGCCACGCGCTTCCTGCTCTACCCAGGAGGCCACGCGCTTCACGCTCTACCCAGGAGGCCACGCGCTTCCTGCTCTACTCAGGAGGCCACGCGCTTCCTGCTCTACCCAGGAGGCCACGTGCTTCACGCTCTACCCAGGAGGCCATGTGCTTCACGCTCTACCCAGGAGGCCACGCGCATCACGTGCTTCTATCCAGGCTCTGCACTGTTCGAATCACAACCCTGCTTCCAAAATATAACAATCTGAGAAATGAGAACAAAATAAGAACCAGATCCTCTGGTTAAGATAGCTGCAAGCAGTGATTTGCAGGGGAAATGTCTTACGCAATGCAGAGTGAGAAAGAAGATTCACAGCTCGGCTCGGCTCATGGAGATCTACTGCTACTCAGTGCTTTACAGCTCAGACAAAGGTTGTTGCTTAGTTTTCCAAAAGGTGAAAATTCCTGTGCTAGGTTGCATAACTTTCCTGAATTGCTTTGAAAAGAAATATTTGACTTTAAAATTTGAAATATTAGATCTAACACTGTAAGATATTCTGTGGGTAATTTCTGAGTCCAGTAAATGTCACTTTGGCTTTGTAAACTAGAGGTAGATCTCAATCATTTATTTATCATGCCCTAACTGAGCACCTTCCAAGCATAAGAAGCTGTGTGAAGTGCTGGCAACAGTGTCAGCAGCCATGTACCCAGCCACGGGGAGCCCAGCCCTGGCTGTGTTTGAGTTCCAAGC